GAAAAATACTCATTTCTGACAGCTTTGAACTCTTCATCAGATATTACATCATTCTTTCAATCTCTTCTAGCAGTAGCTAATTCTTTTCTTTTAGATGAGATATTCTCATTTCATCAAGATTTTGAATACTCAGAAGATTTTCTTTTTGAAATATTATCTCTAACACTTGTTAGAATAATAGATGTAATAAGCTTCACTCTATTCTCAAGCATTTCATTTGAGATATCTTGACCAGAATTCCAATATAGCTTATTCTGTCTTTCAGATTTTAACAGTTTTATGCTTTCTTCAACTGCTTTTCAATCAGCTTTTTCAAAGTTATACTGATTAGAGAGAAGAGGATTTTCACTCATTTGTTTTTCACTCAGTTCAATATCAAATTGAATAATCTCATGATCTGATTCTGATGTCTCATTTGAATCAATAAATCAGTTTACAAGTCTTCTTTTCATTAGATTTTGTGACATGAAGATTAGATCTATAATAGACTTCTGTTTCATGCCTTTTCTAAAGAATGTTTGTTGATCAGACTTATTAACCAAATCTATTAAATGCTCAAAGGTTCATTCAATCAGATTATCAGCTCTCACTGCTCTCTTGCATTCTGAATTTTATCAGGGATGATGTGCATTCAAATCTCCTGCAATTATAGAGTTTCTTGATAGAGTTATGTTCAGAAATCCTCTATCAATTGTCCAGATATTGTTATTTTCCTTCAATGACTTTTCATTATAGATATTTATGAGCTGTATAGTATTAAACTCATTTTCTTTATCTATAATATCACCCATCAGAATATCAGGGTCAGACATGATATCAAATCTTAGATTAAATTGATATCTTGATCTCTTTCTTTCATAGATCACTACTCTTGACTTTATCTCAGACTTTTGAGGTAAAAAGCAGTAGTAGCTTGAATGAGAAATGACATATTTTTGCTCAGCATCAAAATTCAGCTCCTGAAGCAGTACAAAATCAACTTTTTATTCAAATGCAATTTGAAGACAAGAATAAATGCAATTTGAGTTTCTATTCACATTATTTTGAATAAATGTGATTTTTAAAGAGTTTTTAAACTTTTTTTGTTGTTTTTGTTGTATATTCATACTAAAAGAGAGTAGAGAAGAATCTAATCACTATCATCAGATAGTAGATTATAACTGTTCTGAAAAGTAGGAATCTCAACTGCTTACATTATATCTAGTTTATCATCAGAGTCATTTCTCAATTCTCTAATCTTAACAGAAGTTTGAGAATTCAAATTCTGTTTACATTTTGCTGAAGAATTGAAGTTTGAAGACTTAGATAATTGAGAGTTTCTTCTTTTTAAGCTTGCAGTTGTGAGTTTACTGGCTTGACTCTTCTCTTCAGTTCTAGATTGACTTTGAGCTTCATCTTTTCTCCAGTTCTTTTGAGTTCTAGAAGCAAACATACATTCTTTTAAGCTAGATGCATGTTTTTCTTTGCAATTAGAGCACTTAAGCAGAGTATATTGACAAATTTCACCTCTTTTTGAGCATGTTTCACATTTATGCTCACTAGTTTTATGATCTCTGGTACAGAATGCACATTTTGAGTCTCTAAAACATGAGATTGCAAAGTATTCATATCTTTGACAGTTTGAACACTGTGTTTGAGCTTTGAGATTCATTCTCAAGTCTTTGTATTCATGAACTCTCATTTTCAAACCTGCTACTCTTACTTCAGAGATCTTTGACTGTTCAAGTGTTTTTATATATATTAGAACAGAGGCATTTCTCCTACTTTGTCTGAACTTAATTGAATTTAGTCATACAGACTTCTTTCTCAGTTGAATGAAGTTGTATTCTTTCAATTCATTTTTAAGAAGTAGCATTTCTTCTTCACAGTCAAAAATTTCAACTGAAATATCATGAAGAATGAATTTGTCTTACTTTTCATCTCTTTCAGATAGAATTGTTATATTTAGCAAAGATTCTACTGCTGACTTTCAGAGATTCTCATTCTGAATAAGGAATTCAGCACTGAATTCAGGCATTGTAGTCAGAATGATGAAGTTTTCAAAGAATGATAGCTCAATTGAAGCTATAACTGATTTTTGAACTTCAATATCAGTCATCAACTGAGAAAAGAACTGCTGATTAATTTCATTTCTGATTCTGAAAATGAGATTTGAGTTTAGCTTGTTTCTTTGCAGAATGTTCTGATTTGAGACTTTGAGAATAAGTCTTCTATTTCTGAAGATTTGAAAGTTTTTCTCTTTTTGCATTTTCTTTTTCACTTTTCTATGAATAGAGGCATGAGCAGTATTCTTCTCAGTTTTCTCAGGATTTTGAGCAGGTTTTGAGACAGCAGGTTTAGAGATAGCAGATTCAGCTGCTTGAGTATATGTTTTCTTCTAATTCAAAGAAGAAGAAGAAGTAGAAAGAAAGAAAGAAGAAGAGCAAGATAAAGAGTCAGTGATTGTACTAGGAATTTTCAAGATTTTTTGAACTGTGTTTGAGATTCCAAGTTTGAACTTGATCATCTTCTGTAGTTGTCTAGCCTGAGTATGAAGAATTAACAGAACTTCTTCATTCATCTCACTCAGACACTGCTTTCCAAGAATCTTGCTTACTTTTTCAAGTTTCTGTATTTCAAGAACTTGTTGTTTCTCTATTTCTTCTTTCTTTCTTCTCTTCAGAATTTCAATCTCAGAAATAGCATTTGAGAAAGCATCTTTTTCCACATCAACTGAGTGTATTTTTGAACTCATTGTTTTCACTCAATGAAAAGTTGATCAGACTGTTTCAATTGAGATATTTCTAAGTCTGTTTTCAATTGAAAAGTTGGTCAGACTGTTTCAAAAGAAGAATAAAAGACTTTTGTGTATAAAACACCTGATTTTTTTCACACTAGTTCAGTAACTAGATTAGATTTTTGAAGAGAATCTAATAAACTAAAATTGATTTTTAAGATAAATCAATAAAATCTTTACAATCTCTTTCTTGAGATACAGTGAGGAAAAGTATGATATCAATTGATAATAAATCAGATGATATGACAGTTTTTAAGAGAAAAACTGACAAAAAATAAATCAATTTTTTGTAGAGAAATTGATTAAAACTATTCAATTTTATTCTAAATCATTCAATTCTTCTCACACAACAAGTGTGCAACTCAAATCAGTTAATAAAGAGTGTAAAAAAGAATTAAGTATTAATGAAAGCTCTTCAGCCACTGAAAAAGTAATTCTTACTTAAAAGAATATGAAATTATGACAGAAAACAACTCTGTTTTTAATTCTTTGTAAGAATATTGTATAAAATCCAGAGAAAAACACCTTACTTTTTCAAGAGAAGTAAAAAACTATTTCTAAGATCTTTTTTTTTGCATTAACTGCTGCAGAAGAATGAGATAGAAACTGCTAAGATATGCACTACTGTATACCTTCTATCAAGACTTTCTCTCTTCAGAGTCTTGATATTATAGAGAATATAAGTCTGTTTCTATATGATAATATAAATATTGTCAGTGAGATGTAGAGGAACTGGTTATTTATATCTCAAAATAGAAGACTTTGTCAATGATTATATCAATATAGAGTTAATTCTCAAATTCAATAGAAATCTAGTGTTGCTGTTCTCAATTCCTTGCAGAATCTATTGAATATTGAGATATTAAAACTAGATTTAATATATCTCACTGTGCAGGGATCAAAGGCTCAGTCAGATCTTGAAGTATACTGATTTTATAGTTGTTGATGTGCTGTTGACTCATTGTTCACTGATTATGTATTGAATGCTGTTGCTGAGGTATCTTTTTGTATTGTTCTGCTGGGGATGAGCCAGATTGAGAGGGGTAGTACAGGGGTGAGACTTGGTGTTAAAGTCTAGATACACTGGTGGTGGACTGTGGAGATTGCACTTCAGAAGAGTCTGTTGATTATGTGCTTGATATTATCGCTGAGGTATCTTTTTGTATTTTTCTGCCGGGGATGGGCCAGATTGGGAAGGGCGATACGAGGGTGAGACTTGGCGTTGGTGTTTTGAAACATCAAAGATGGACAGGGTTTTCGCGGAGGTCGCTCCTCGGATATCTCCACAACTACAGGTCGGGGATCTTCCAAAATCGAGAAGATTGATGCATATGGCTAGGTCACTTCACCTTACAATTTGTATGGCACTCTGGCCCGGGGTTGTGGTGTGGTAGGGGAGAACGGGGGATAATCCCACACAGAAGCTTCGAACAACGTCCGGTTCACATTTGGCTGGATAACTCCACCACCACACGGGGTATGCGGTCGGCGATGGGGTCAAAATGCTCGTATGATCGAGGGCTTTTCGATGGATCTATCGGCGGGTTCTTATTCGAAAAATCGAGCGAGTTCGTGGTGGAGCGGTTGTTGAGTCTGTATACTAGTAGTTCAGAAGCAGCTGTGTTATTATTCAACAGTCATACATTCTTTTAAATCACATTCTCTCTCACCAGATTCAGTCACACTCACATGACTATGTTGTACATCCTAGCTTCATGCAGATTAGCTCATCACTAGTGTTTCACAATTATATGATCTATTTCTAATTCAGCTAGCATTCTGTATACACTCTCATAAAAAAACTTTCACTATATTATATCACTCATTCACTAACTTTTCTCATTCTTCAATCATCATCTTCATCATCATTATCATTGAATGTCATCATCATCTCAGATTTCTACTTCTTCTTCTGTTCAACTCTTTCTATCTATTCATCTATCACATTATACACATTTCTGATAATGACTCTCTGTTCTTACAACAAGCATCATCATAGTGCTCATACTGAGCAGTTCATCAGCAGTAAGTGTAACACATTGTGAAATATGATCAGAACTTGTTTATCTTCTAACAATTATCAGAATAACATATTATTATGAATGACATATCTTCTTTATCTTCTTATATACTCTCAATCATTTTCTTCAGCAGGTTTCTGATCATGTTTTCTGGCACAATTTTGCATGAATGCAGATGCTGATGTTTGTTTTTATTCATATAGAATCTTCATATATTGACAGATTCATATTTATCAATGATAGTAAACTCAATATTGAATCATTGATCAAGAATCTGAAGAATATGATAATGAAGAAATTGTTCATATCATGTGTGACTGAGTCTTCTATGTCTTCTCTTATCTCTTCTGCTGCTTCTTTCTCTGCTGCTTCTTTCTCTGTCTCTTTCTCTGTCACTTCTCAATCTTCTACACTTGTCTCTGTGTCTGGTTCTCCCACTCCTGCTACCCCTGTTCCCGCAATCCCTACTCTCACTACTTCTTGTTTTACCATCTCTGTCTTTGTTACTAGCTCTTCTCATTTCAAGAAGATGTTGCATAGACTCAGTGAATCACATTTTTCAGTGCATATACTTCTGCTCTTCTTACTAATCTCTAGAACAATTTATTATATAAAGACAGTGTACAATATGACTATCTAAAGTTCAGTCATAAACATCAATTATTACATTCATTTTAAATATTTGTGATGAGACAATCATTCATTCATTTCAGAGAATTATTCTTCTCTTCAACAGTGTCAAGATCATAAGTCTTTTTCTTTTTCATCTTTTCTTTCTAACACTGATTTTTCTGTTCTTAGAGGAAATCATTATGAGTTTTACTGTGTATGAAGTCATGATATTCACAGATATCAAGAAACTTTTTACAACTGTAAAGTTCAATATTATGAGAACATCTGCTCTGATAAATTTCTTCAGAATGATAGATCTGTATCAGTCTATTCTCTGACATCTGTTGTCTGACTTCATGATGCAGGTAAAAGATATTCATGTTTTCAGGAATGAAAACACGGATGTGGTACTCTTTTACATTCACAGATGTGAGGCTTGTATGTCTTGTCTGAGATATTATCATAAGAATGAGCTGTTCACATGCTGCATTCTGCTTTCTGTATTTCTCTGTGTCTCTCTCTCTCTTCCTGAGAAGCCTCATGCATGTTGTAATTATGTGTACAATTCTAAGATCAGCAGGTGTTTGTTCAGTAATTATTATTCCTGCTTTTACAATTTTTGTACATTAATAATAATTCTTAGTTACTCTGACATCAGAGATCATTCTAATCAAAGATGATAACATCACTGAGACTATCTTCTCTCATTCTTAAGCTTCTTCTGTTGCTTTCTCTTCCTTCCCTGCAGAAAAGATTGTGCATATATCAAATTATAAGTATTCAGCACTGAGTGACTTCTGCTGTTATTTATTCAATTCTGTATCTTCTTCTTCTTCTGTTTCTTTCATCTCTGCTCTCTCTGTTCTGACTTCTGATTCTGCAAGTTTCACACTCTTCTTCAATTTCTCTACATGTATGTGTACATATTTCTATATTAGCATTTCAGTCAATCTTGTGATGAATGACATTAATGTTGTACACAGAGTGATAGAGAAATCAGAGATATACACAGTATTGTTGTAAGAGCAGCTTACAGCTCTCAAATTTCTTATGAATCTTGAGTTTTGAGATTTTCTTTATTTTTAACATTTTTCAGGTGATATGGCATTGAAAATAGATTAAACATGTAATATATGAAAATGAATAAGATATATATAATAACATTTATCATTTACAGCTGATTCTTACAGTTAATGATTAATTCATTATTTTTTTTCTTATACTTTTTCTTTATCTGCTAGTCACTACTCTTACATAATCTTTATATGATATAGTATTCAGTGACTAGGTTTAGTAGCTTTCATCTTTGTAATTCTGTCTCACATATTATACTGTCTCTCTTCACCTGCTCAGATCACTACAGTGAACAGCTCATTGAAACTAATATTGCCTGATCTCTGAGCATCTTCAGAGATTGAGATGACTTAGTCTCATGTGTTCATGAATGTTTCAGATAGTTCATTCTCTGTGATCTCTGCAATTGAACTAGTGTAAACAGTCAAATTCAACTCTGAATTCCTTTTTCTTCTGCAATCTGACTCATATGCAAGTCTGTCACTTTGAGACTGCTTTTTATCATGTTGTGTCTGCTGTCTGCAGTATATTATTATACAATCAGCTACAGTCTCATCACTTATTAAAGTGTGATATTCATCTGATTTCTTCATTTCTTCTCATTCTTTTCTTATAATTATGAAAAGGTTGGAATAAGTAAGATTATCTGATTCATAAGTGTCTATGATTTCTCTTACTTTGTGAGACTTTTCAATTGTAAGTCTCTTCTTTTTCAATACTGATGATAGTGCTGTGAATAACTATAATTCACTCAGATCTTGCATCTTTGCTTTCATAAGTCATGAATCATTGATTAAGTTGTGTAAGATCTGTTTCTCTGATTCTTTCAATGAATACATTCTCAGAGAATGTGATTTAAGTATTTTATATAGCTCAAATCATCTAGATTAAAACTTCTCAGAACTCTTATTATGTATAAGAACTCATATTCTCACCTTGAGACTTAATTTCTTAACTAGTGAGTCTCATATTCTTTTCAATTGAATTGCTCAGTTCAGAAGTAACTTGTTAGCTTTTATATGTATGTGACTGATCTCTTTCAATCTTGATTTCACATCTGCAACTGCTGCATTCATAACTGCTACTACTGTATTCACAACTGTTGTATCTGTGACTGTTGCATCTGCAACTGCTGTTCTCTCTCCCATCTTTTCTGAAGCATTCTTCAGAATGTGATTCAAAGGTTGCTTAAGCCAGCGTACGATTACAGGCGTACACCGGCTTCTTATATTGTAATCTCGTACACTAAATTAATTAGTGTATGCTATGGCCTCTTTACACTCATACACATATGCTAGTAGTTCGGAAGCGGCCGCGGTATTATCCGACAGTTGTATGTTCTTCCGAACCACATCCTCTCTCACCAGATTCAGTCACACTCATGTGATCATGTTGTACACTCTAGCTTCATGCAGATTAGCTCACCACTAGCATTTCATGATTGTGTGATCTATCCCTGATTCAGCTAGTGTTCTGTATACACTCTCACAAAGAAACTTTCACTATATTATATCACTCATTCACTAACTTTTCTCATTCTTCAATCATCTTCTTCATTTCATCATCATCAAATGCTATCATCATTCAAGATTTCTATCTCTTCTCCTGTTCAACTCTTTCTATCTGTTCATCTATCACATTATACATGTTTCTGACAATGATCTCTCATTCTCACAACAAGCATCATTGTAGTGCTCATATCAGGCAGTTCATTAGCAGTAAGTGTAATGCATTGTGAAATATGATCAGAACTTGTTTATCTTCTAACAATTGTCAGAACATACTATCATGAATGACACATCTTCTTCATCTTCTTATACACTCTCTTCATCTTCTTATATACCCTTAACTGTTTCTCTCTCAGTGGGTTTCTGATTGTGTTTTCTGATATAATTTGCATGGATACAGATGCTGATATGTTTGTTTTTATTCACATAGAATCTTCACACATTGACAGATCTGCATCTGTCAATAATAGTGAACTCAATGTTGAATCATTGATTGAGAACTTGAAGAACACAATAATGAAGGAATTGTTCATGTCATGTGTGACTGAGTCTTCTGCATCCCTCTCTGCCCTCTCTGTTTCTTTCTTCACCGCTCCCCCTCAATCTCCTACACCTGTCCCTGTGTCTGGTTCTCCCGCTCCCACTACCCCTGTTCCCGCGACCCTCACTTCTGCTACTTCTGATTTTACTGTCTCTGCTTTTGTTATCAGCTCTCCCCATTTCAAGGAGATGTTGTATAGACTTAATAAATCACATCTCTCAGTATATACACTCCTGCCCTTCTTACTGACTCTCAGAACAATTTATTATACAAAGACTGTATATAACATGACTATCTGAAGCTCAGTCACAGATGCTGATTATTATATTTATTTTAAATATTCATGATGAGACAATTATTTATTCATATCAGAGAATCACTCTTCTTCTCAACAGTATCAAGATCATAAGTCTTTTTCTTTTCATCTTTTCAATCTGATGCTGATTTTTCTGTTCTTAGAGGAAATTATTATAGGTTTTGCTGTGCATGAAGTCATGATATTCACAGATATTAAGAAACTTTTTACAACTGTAAAGTTCAATATTATGAGAATATCTGCTCTGATAAATTCCTTCAGAATGATAGATCTGTATTGACCTATTCTCTGACATCTGTTGTTCAACTTCATGATGCAGACAAAAGATATCTGTGTTTTCAGAAATGAGAATGTGAATGTCATACTCTTTTACACCCGCGGGCGTGAGGCTTGTACACCTTGTCTGAGATGTCATTATGGAAATGAGCTGTTTGCATGCTGTGTTCTGCTTCCTGCATTCCTCTGTGTCCTTCTCTCTCTTTCTGAGAAGCCTCATGTGTGTTGTAATTACGCGTACAATTCTAAGGTCAGTGAGTGTTCATTCAGTAATTGTTATCCCTGTTTTTATGGTTTCATACACTAATAATAGTTCTTAGTTGCTCCGGTGCCAGAGGCCATTTTAATCAAAGATGATAACACTGCTGAGACTACTCTCTTCTATTCTCAAGCTCCTCTCATCACTTCTTCTCCCTTCTCTGTAAGAAAGGTTATGTGCACACTGAGTTATAAGCATTTGACTCTGAGTGACTTCTGTTGTTCATCCGGTCCTGCATCTCCTTCTTTCATTTCTTCTGTCTTCATTCTCCCTGCTCTGGCTCCTGGTCTTACAGGTTCCACACTCTTCTTCAATTTCTCTACATGTACGCGTACACATTCCTATATTAGCATTTCAGTCAATCTTGTGATAAATGACATTAATGTTGTACACAGAGTGGTAGAGGAATTGAAGACATGCACAGTATTATTACAAGAGTGGCTTGCAGCTCTTAAATTCCTTACAGATCTTGAGTTTTGAGATTTTCTTTGTTTTTGATGTTTTTCAAGTGATGTGGTATTGAAAATAGATTAAATATGTGATGTATGAAAATGAATAAGATGTGTATAATAACATTTATCTTTTACAGTTAATTCTTACAGTTGATGATTAATTCATTATCTCTTTTCTTACACTTTTTCTCTATCTGCTAGCTACTACTCTTACATGATCTCTATATGATACAGCATTCAGTGACTAGGTTCAGCAGCTTCCAACTTTTTGTGATTCTGTCTCATATATTATACTGTCTCTCTTCACCTACTCAGATCACTACAGTGAATGACTCATTGAAACTAATCTCACCCAATCTCTGAGTATCCTCAGAGGTTGAGATGACTTGATCTCACACATCTGCAGATGTTTCAGATAGTTCATCCTCTGTGGTCTCTGCAATTGAACTGATGTAAACAGTTAAATTCAACTCTGAATTCCTTTTTCTTCTGCAATCTGACTCACATACAAGTCTGTCACTTTGAGACTGCTCTTTACTGTGTTGCACCTGCTGTCTGTGATATATTATCATACAATCAGCTACAGTCTTATCACTTATTGAAGTGTGATATTCATCTGATTTCTTCATTTCTTTCCATTCTTTTCTTATAATTATGAAAAGATTGGAATAAGTGAGATTATCTGATTTATAAGTATCTATGATTTCTCTTA